TGGAATCCTTCCCAAGCTCTCTCTAAATGTCTTAAATCCAAGACTCTAGTTTGATTGTTCTATTGCTTGTGCTTCCCTAATGTTGAATTCCAATATTGCATAATCACTTCCCCCCCAAGGTTCTTATGGCTTCAACACCTCCTATCATTTCATCTCTGTTAGTGAGGATTAGATCCAATATGGCTGATCCTCTAGTTCCCTTCTTTGTCTCTTTTTGGGAGACAAAGTTATTGCTAGGTTTATCTATTTGATCTTCCACTTGGTGCAGAATTTGTCTCCCAGTTAATGTCACGATAATTAAAGTCCCCCATTACTATTGTGATGTGCTTCCTACATATCTTAGTTAACTGACTAGCAAAAAGTTCATCTAGTTCAGTGGTTCTCAACCTGTGGGTCGGGACCCCATTTGGGGTCGAATGACCATTTCATGGGGGGTCACCAAACAACGCAGTCTGCCTTTTTTTCCCTTTTCCTTAGCTGTGCTACTCCCTTTTATTCTATTGGCTTTTGAAAGCCAATAGAATAGACTCTCTTGAATAGAGCCTAATTCTATTGGCTTTCAAAAGCCAATAGGAATTGTCCAGGCTGTCTCTGCCCTGCTGAGCCCGCCAAAAGTCCCATTCTGCAAATGGTGCTGCACCAGTTGAGTAGTCCTCAACTTACGACCAGTTGAATAGTCCTCGACTTACGACCGGTTGGGGGTCGCGGCATTAAAAAGGTTGAGAACCACTGATCTAGTTCCTCTGTTTGGTTGAGTGGCCTATAGTATATACCTATGGCAATGTCATTTTTCCCCCTTTTAAATTAAGCCAAATGCATTCAAGACTGTTTTCATCATTGTTGTGCTCTATTTCTGTAGAGATATAGTTATTTCTTATATAGAGAAATATTCATCCCACCAAGTTTCTGTAATGGCAACAATATCATATCTGCCCTCATTTACCTGAATTTCTAGTTCACCCTGTTTACTGTTCATACTCTGTGCATTGGTGTATAGACATTTGAGTCCTTTATAACTGATCCTGTTTACTTTCTACATAAACCTGTGTGGTGCCTGAGTTCCCTTATTTTCTTACCAACTGTTTGGTTAGTGCACTTTGTGTGGCACTCGTTATTAAAAGCTTGATTTTGCTTGACAGCAAGGTTGATATTTTTGTCCACACACACACATCTATGTTACATACACTGATAACAGGGACAGGGATGTCTGTATCAATTAGCTCACTGTCCCCATTGTTTAGTTTAAATATTCCTCCAGAAAATCTGTGAATTTATTGCCAAGTAACTCAGTCCCTTTCTTTGATAGATGCAAACCACCTCTTTTGTACATTTTTTCATTGGATCAGCTACAGACATTGTGACTAATATAACCAAAGCCTTCCCCTTTACACCACTCCTTTAGCCACATATTGAATTCTGCTATATGCTGGCCTTTTTCATTTTGCTCCTTATACACTGGTAAAACTTCTGAAAAAGTAAGCCTACAGCCTATCCTGCTAAGTTCCTACCCCAAGCTCTGGAAATCATTCTGCACAGAGAGTACATCTTTTTGGGACAGATCGTTACTGCCAAGATGTACAATAGCATCCACATCACAGTCCTCGCCTGCATTCTTGACTATTTTAAAAATATGCTTCTTGTCCCTACTGGCAGTAGCACTTGGAAGACACCTGACCTCTTTTGAAACCTCTATGTCTTTTCCTAAATTTACATCCCTTATAATTGCATCACCAACCAGAAGGTGGCTTCTCTTTTTAGATGCCTTGTTCTTCTTGCATGACTGATGTGTAATTCCTGATTCGCACTTCTCCCTGTCAAAAACAAGTTCTTCATTTCGGACCACGATCCTCTACTTATTTGAGTTATCATCATTACAACTACCTTGACCTGTCTCCTTAATGTCCTTATTAAAGACAACAAGGGCACTGTATCTGTTATGCAGGAACACAGCGAAAGCTTTGTGTTTATGGTTCACAGGTCTCACTCTGCCAGATCCCACGGTTGTCCACACTGCCCTTCTCCTGCAGGATCTTTGTAATAGAGGGGGTTGATAGCACAGATGCTGAATAGAGTAGAAGGGCTGAACTGGACACCTAATTTCTGTCTGAAGAGCACAGATTACAGACCCTAGATGAGTTGTGGTGAACCTATGGCACGTGTGCCAGAGGCAGCACTCGGAGCCTTCTCTGTGGGCACGCACACCATCGCCCCAGCCCCCCTCCCCCTCCTCACCAGCAGCCCCCCTGGAGGAGAGTTGCCCCCGGGCACAGCCCACATGGAGCAGCACAGCCAAATACATAGCTGGGCAACAGGGACAAGACTCCACCCTCGCACTCCCATAGCGTGCAGATGATGCTGAGGGGTGTGGGCAGAGGGTGTGGCTGCCATGGCGCTGCAGGGCCAAATAGGACAGTTTCCAAGTTTGAAAAGAGTACTGCGAAATACAGCTGCAAGCCAAGTGTTACACTGAACTAAGCCAGACATTCTGAGATGAAAGGAATCTCAGATGCACTTGCCCTGAATGTTGTAGCAGCTGCTGCTTTTGATTTTTAGTTATACTACTTTCCTCCTCCACCCTCCTCCTTCTTAAATCACAGATTGTAGCTCTTCCCAGCAACCTCTGGGCAGTTTAAATGCAATGGAGGTCCAATCAGCAGGGGCTCAGCTACTTTCCTCCTCCACCCTCCTCCTTCTTAACTCACAGACTGTAGCTCTTCCCAGCAACCTCTGGGCAGTTTAAATGCAGATCTGAGCAGCATTTGCATTGTAAAAAAATTAGAAAATAATTATGCTGAAATTATACCAATTTCCAAAGTTCATAATATAGTAAAACCTCTATGTAATGGACCATTCAGGAGAAGCAAGATATTCATTAAATCCAAATGTCCATTATTTTTGCATTAACATTATTTCATCAATGAATGTATATAACATGTAAAGCCATGTACTTGTTATAAATGGCAACTTTTGTAGTAAAGCTTTGCTTTAACAATACTCTCCATGAGGGACCAGCTGAGCCAAGGTCATTTCATATTTGGGGCACAGTTGATTAGTAAACCTGACCCATAATTAGAAAAGTCAGATGAAGTCAGCTGCATTTGCTCCTTTTCCCTTGAGGAACATTTGCCTTATCATTTGTAGCAGTCCCTGAAATACTGGAATACTGCTATCGTATCACCCCTAGTCCTTCTTTTCTCTAGACTGGCCATATCCAATTCCTGCAACCGTTCTGCATATGTTTTTGTCTCCAGGCGCTTAATCATCTTAGTTGCTCGTCTTTGCACTTTTTCCAAAGTCTCAAAATCTGTTTTGTAATGTGGTGACCCAAACTGGATGCAGTATTCCAGCTGTGGTCTTACTAAAGCTTTATAAAGCGAACCTAATACTTCACATGATTTTGATTCTGTGCCTCTGTTTATACAACCAAGGGTTGTATTAGATTTTTTTGGCTGCTGCCACACACTGCTAGTTCAGTTTAAGTGATCGTCTACTAGGACTCCAAGGTCCCTCTCACAGTTACTGTTTTTGAGCCAGGTTTTGCTAACCTGTACTTGTACCTTTGGTTTTTCCTGCCTGGGTGTAAAACCTTGCTTTTCTCCACATTAAATTTAATGTTGTTGGATAGGGCCCATTGTTCAAGTCTGTCAAGTTCTTTTTGGATCCTGAGCTTGTCTTCTGGGGTGTTGGCTATTCTTGCCGCTTAGTGTCATCTACAAGTTTGATGAATTCCCTTTGTTAGCCAAGGGATGTGGGTAGATAAGAACATGGCCTTGATGGCTCTGCAAGTACATCTTTAGGATATACCATGTTACACAATAAATTGAAGACCATTTTTGTTTGCCAAGTTTTGGTTTTGCTTGTGAGCTGTCTACTAATATATTTTTATATATTTTATTACTTTTAAAACAGCAACAGGAAAGAAAGGAACAAAACACAAAGATAGATACATTATCAGAAAACTACATAAGAAGTGTTTAAAAATAAGTGGAAAAACACAACAGGAAAAAATAAAAATAATGTATAAAGTATATTATATGCCTTCAGTAATAAACAGTTACAGTTCTACATATAATTAATGCAAACATTATGCAAATACATATATATTTATTTCTAATACACATTTTATAACTATCATCCGTTTTAGCCTTAATTGTATCAAAAATAGTCAATAAGCAAGAAAAGTTTAGTCAAAAGCTGAGGTTTTTTTCCTCCCATACTTAAGCTATGCCACATGAACCTTGCCTTATTTTTCCTAAAAGTTGTTAAAAGCAGAATTAATTATGAAAAAAATCAAGTAGAGTTGTATATTTCATAATAGGACATGACATTTCACAAAAGAAAGGTTCTTTTTATATTCAAGAATCTTATCATATATTTTTGTAACCTTTTCTTCTGCAGCTTCCAATGGCATCTCATAAAGATACTCAATTTTTTGAAGGAGGAAAAAGTCAAAATGCTATAAATCAAAATAGAGCCTCTCATGGAGATTGGGGTAGAGCATGGTAAGAAAATCTGCCATGTGGTGACTATAGCTGGGAAATGTGCTTATAAAGTGCTTATAAAGAACTGTATGGGCTGGTTCTGTAAAATAGGCAGCTACTGCTGAATTTTAGGGGCATTTGTTTAACATCCAAAGGGATGTCATAGAGTATTTAAATTTACTTCTTTGAAATATTTATATGCTGGTTTTCTGTTGACACACATCCAGAGTAGTTCATGAAACTGGCTCATTTCAGCAAATACTGTAAGTGTTAAGGGCAACAACACACTAAAATTGTACAAATCATAATTCTGTTCAGAGTCAATCATTGACAGTAGGGTTTTAAGGTTTCTTTTTTCGGAGGGGGAGTAACAATCTCTATGTGTCTTTTTCAGGAAGGCTGATTGGTTTTCTTTGATAAGTGTCATCTTTCTACTCTTCTCTTGTCCCTTTATGGTCTACTATTTTGTAATGTCATGTGATCAGTACCATTGCTCTTTGAGTGAACCAGCCATCCAGTTGCTTACGGGAAAAGTTCACCTCTTAGATATCTGGGAGAAGACACCCTCTTTCTCTTGGAAAATTCTAATCCTTTATTTTTCTTGGGTAATATTCCAGGTATGTATCTTGAAGCTTCTCTGTTGGAATCCAGCTATTTGGATCAAAAGTAAGATTGTTTTTAAAACTGCATTCTAAAATTGGAGCCCTACATGTGAAAATGTGACAATATAAGTTACTAGCAATATTGTGTTTGGGTGTTGCTGGGAATAATACTAACAACTAATATTCCTGGTTTCTTTGAGACATTTTTTTTGTCTTGCTCTCTTTTATGTTTCCAACACTTCCAAAAGATTATGACTGACAGAAAAAATGAGAGACTTGTGGTCTTCCGGAAGTTATGAAACTGAGCTTCCAAAACCCATTGCCATTAGCTAGGCTTATGGGCTATGCCAGGGGTTGTTATTTCAACCATATTTGCAGGGCAATAGGTTCCTCACCCAGAGCTAGATGGTGATTTGAAATAAACTAACACAGGCTCACCTTCCATTTTTAGTTGCTATTTCTACATTATTTCTATATGAACATTTGATCATGGTATTGGCAGCTAGTAATTAAATATTTTCTACAATTTCTATGTCCCCAAATGAGTTTTACTAAAATATTCACAGTTCCATATTTCTATTTCAGCTACATTTTTAAACAGCTACACTATTATGAGAGGTTGGGATATGAGTAAATGTCAGTTATGAAAAAATAATTATATGGTCAATCCATAATTTATCCTCCTTCAAATGTACCATTGTGCAACTTTAATTCACTTGTAAAGATATTGGCTTATACGTCCATTCCGTTACAGGGATTTTTGTTTATGATTCCTGACTTTTGTCATAAATTTATTCCTGGTTTTCGAGGAGGAGTACAAGAAGGTGCCATTTCACCTGCTGGTAAGATCATTTTTATTATATCAAGTAATTAAAAATGGAGGAAAAAAATGCATGCCTGCAAACAATTATCGGCTTATTCAGCATGTTTCTAATTAAATGATACAATCACTGATCCCTACCATATGTTGGCCTACATTTCCCTCTCACCCTCAGTTGCTCCTAGAAGTCCTTTTGTCTTAAAAATAACATTTTTTTTCTTGCTGCCTGTTACACTTGGAGATATGTAATGTTGCTTTTCTCTGTTTTGAAATGCTTTGGACCTTGCTGATATATAATCACACACAACCACATTCATTGCTTGTAACTTGTGTCTATCTTCTTCAAACCCTCTGGGGCAGGGCTGAGCAATTAGGTTTTCCAAGAGGTCACATGAGAAACTGGGACTCTTGTGGAGGGCCAGACCAATAGGACTATGAACGGGTGTAAACATGCACTCATGGCACATATATAAATTGGAAAAAAGAGCTGTTAGCTTCAAAATAAAAGCAATGCAGTTTTATTGTATGGGTGGTAAACACTTATTTACATTTGATTTCTAATTTCCAATTGATCTCATGCAAGCTGGACAGGGACAGCCAATGGGCCAAATGTGGCCTGGTGGCCATAAATGTCCAGGTTTACTCTGGAGGGATGAGTCCTCTCCCCCTGCCTCCAACAAGAAGTCATGAACTGTGGCGGCACAGTGGTTAGAATGAAGTATTGCAGGCTAATTCTGCCAACTGCCAGCAGTTCAGTCTTGACCAGCTCAAGGTTGACTCAGCCTTCCATCCTTCCAAGGTTGATAAAATGAGGATCCAGATTACTGGGGCCAATATGCTGACTCTCTAAACCGCTTAGAGAGGGAAGTAAAACACTGTGAAGTGGTATAAACTGTAAATCTATTCCTACGAGTATTACTGAGACTGTACACAAGAATAAAACTGCTGATAATTAAGCAGAGAATTGCTCACTTCTTCCTATAAAGAGGTTTTTCTTTGGGAATTGATGGACATACAGCTGGAAAAAGTCATGAAAATTATATATCAACTGAAACAAGATTATTTTATACAGAAAGATAGAAAAATTTGGCACTATTCTATGGTAGAATGGTTAGTGGAGATGATGGGATTTGCTGAGATGGCAAATAAATGTAGACAATATCTACATTTATTGCTAACTGGAAACCCTTTATAGACTTTTTGCATGAAACAAAAAAATGTGATTCATTTTTTTTATTACATAAAATTTTATTTAGCTCTTTATCACTGATTTAAAATTCTTTTAAGTTCTTAAATTTATAATTAATTTTTTTCTTCATAAACATAGACTCATCAGATGGCTTTTCAAACTTGTCATTCCAAAGACCAATAACGCCCTTAAGATAATTAACTAGGCAATTTTAAAAAGTGAATAGAAGCATGGTTAGCGAGTATGTCCTTTAAAAGGCTCCGCCATGGTTAAGAACTTGATGATTGATCCCTTCGTTTCCCAGCACCCAAACTCAGAGGGGACAGTTGTCCTTTGGTCTCCCCGTAAGGAGCTACTGTCTGGAGCACATGTGGTTGATCTCCTGTACTCTCCTTGTTCAGAGAGGTTCGAAAGAATCAATCTACTCACTGGTTCCTCGGTCTTTGCCGCAGTTGTTTTTAGCTCATCATGCCTTCCCCAGAAAGCCTATTGTTTTCTGTTTCTGTTTTCTGCCATCCAGAGTTCTTTTGGAATTGGACAGCCTCTAAATCATCGTCATCCTCTGTTTCCTTTTAGGTGTAGTACTCAAATATGAGATTAACGGACTACAAGCCTGGCTTATAACGCATGCCCTCTGGTTTGCAAATGTTTACTACTTCCAGTGGTTCTCGCCCACCATCATTTTTGACAACTGGATTCCAATCTTGTGGTGTGCAAATATTCTGGGCTATTTAACATCCATATTTGTTTGGTTAAAAGCCTACTTCTTCCCTTCTAATGCAAAGGACTGGTATGTTGATATTATTTATGATTTATATTACTATAAATGTGATGATAATTTGATGAGGACTGAATTTTTTTTTCTGATCAGTAAAGCTAATTAATCTAGAAGCTATTTCTCTGCCTTTCTTGCTATTGTACTTTTACTTGCTACTGAAGATCATAAATTTCTAAGCGTGTCATTTCAATTCCTAAGATCTGATGATGTTGGAAAATCATTTGTATGTGCTCAGCTTATCATATACAGATTCTGCCTGCCTGTCTTGAGCATTAAGGTCTTCTAATGGGGGGGGGTCTAATAGGGTAACCATGTTTTTATATCAGAAATGTCCCCTTCAAGTGTCTTGAAAGAAACAGTAATTCAGTCACTCTTAAAGAAGATATGCCTGGAACTATTGTCTTATTTCCAGTATCCTCTTCTTGAGAAGGTGATGACTTTTCAGCTTCATGCATTCTCGAAGGATATGAATTATGTGCACCCATTCCACTTTGATACCATTCTGGTTTTGACATTGAAACTTGTTTGTTCTGACAGACGATGTGCTCTGGAGAAGTATAATTTTGTTGGTACAAATTCTAGTTATCTTGGCATACCATTGGTATGCTGTCATTCTGAATGGATTATCTAGATCTTCTTAATTAGATTTTCTCTATCTCCTCAATCAGCTCCAGAGAACAGCATTATGGTGTTTGTATTCAGTCTTAGAGGCACCTTTGTTGTTTACCATCTATATAAAATTGCTAACTAGGTCATTAGAGGACTAAAATTAGGTGCTATTAGTATACTGTTGACAGAAACTACATTTCTTCATTCTCAGAATCAGGTAAGACTGCAGATATTGGTCTAGATACTATAATAGCCCTGATGAAATTCAGTATCTTGAAGTGGAATCCTAACAAAGTAGTGACTTTATGAATTGATATTTTGTGAAGCCAGAAATTAAATAGGTTTCCCCACCCTGGGCAGTTATATACTGCCCCTGAAAGAGCAGGTATACACCCGTAGTATATACCTGGATTCACCTCTATCTCTGTCACAACAACAGCACAATGCATTTATCTAGCTGTGTCTATCTAATCCTGAAAGCTCCAACTTTCTGGATAGGAATGGGCTGGACTTATCCTCTGATAACCTCCCATTTAGATTACCATCACATCATAAACAGGTCTGCCATTAAAGAAGACTCAGAAATTACAGTTGTAGGCCATTCCTTGAGATACTATTCAGAGACAATATAACACTGGTACTGAAAGAATAGCTATGGTTACCTACACTTTATCATTAGAGTTCCAGTAAAAATATTAGGACTAATACTTGAGGGAGTGCTTCTCAGCATCTACCTGTCCAGCTGTTAAATTCTGTAAAGTCTTCATAGATAGTTCTCAACTTACAATCGTTCCAGAACCTGCCCATAACAGTCAGAAGCCACGATGGTCATAAAGTGGGTCACCCATGTGACCAATCCAATTTTATAACATTTTTTGCAGTGGTCATTAATCAAGTGCCGCAGTCATAAAATTATTACTGCGCTCATTAAGCAAACATTCACTATGGGGCATTTTTGCTGAAAATGAGTAAAAACACCATAAATTGTAGCCATATGACTACAGGATGCTGTAAACAGCCATACATGCAGGCCGGTTACCAATAGTAATAGCACTTAGGCTTATATACCACTTCACTGTGCTTTGCGGCCCTCTCTAAGCGGTGTGCAGAGTCAACAAATTGCCCCCATCAATCTGGGTCCTCATTTTACGGACTTCGGAAGGCTGGAAGCCTGAGTCAACCTTGAGCTGCTCAGCATCGAACTCCTGGGGTAATTAGCTTGCAGTACTGCATTCTAACCACTGCACCATCACCAAGCACCTGAAATGCGGTCATGTGACCGGGGGGCAGCCATCGGAGCTTTGAACCTGTACTTTGCAGGGGCTTTGTCATACTTTTACTTGTAAATCAAAGACTACCTGCATTCACCCCGGAGCCAGGTCAATACTGATATTATCCACCTTTTGGAGTCAGTTGAAGATTCTTTTGGTAATGAATGTCAGCTCTTATCTGGAAGTTATGAATGCTAATATGACTTTTATTATAAGGCTGTAGTAACAGAACCTTGCAAGTCTGAATATTCTACCCAGGGGTCTTCAAACTTGGCCTTTTATGACTTGTGGACTTTAACTTCCAGAATTCCTCAGCCAGTGTGCTCCCAGGAATTCTGGGAGTTGATGTCCACAAGTCATAAAAGGGCCAGGTTTGAAGACCCCTGGTCTACTCCCTCCCTGCTTTTATCCTGAAGAGAACTAGGGAGAGTTAAATCACAGATGTTTTCTCAAATTATATTTCTGCCCCAGATTCAGATTTTGTTTATCTCACCATTGTATTGGTCTCCTCTTGTTCCTCAAGCGTTATTCCTTCTCCCCATTACACTGAACAGATTATAAATGTCTGAAATGAAAATAAATAACATTGTAATTAATGTCATCAGACTAATCAGAAATGATGTCCATTTTGTTTGTGAGTGTTCTTGCAATTTCATTTGGTTTTTAAATTAATGTGTAAGAAACTTTTGTTTTTAATACTCTTTAATATTCTATTTTAGCAAATTCACTGACAATTTCTTCTATAACTTCATGATGGGAATTGAATTTAATCCACGCTTGGGAAAGTGGTTTGATTTCAAATTGTTTTTTAATGGCCGACCTGGAATTGTAGGATGGACTTTGATTAATTTATCCTATGCTGCAAAACAACAGGAATTGTATGGACAAGTCACTAATTCTATGCTACTTCTCAATGTCCTACAGGTAAACATTAACATGTGGATTAATGTTAAATGCTATCAATAGCAATTTCTCCCAATTAATTTCCTCAGGTGATACATCATATGTTTGTGTGTGTGTATGTACACACAAAAATATAGACATGTATGAACTACATGCACACACCACTTTTACATCTGGCTGCAATTTAATCAGTAACTCTTTCAGGATGACTGTAGTTCCACAAAATTCTTCTTTATATCAGTACCACTGTTTACAAGCTATTCTTCACAAAATAATGACCTCAAAATTATTGGAATTGTGAAATATCTCATTATGCTGTGATTTCAACTTCAAAATCTCATAGGTTCTCATATGAGAATAGCAAAATCTCATGCGAGTGTTCACAAAACAATATTCTTGCATAAGATTTCAGAGTGAGGTAGGTAAATCTGTGTTTTTGGAATGATTTTTTTTCCACTCATACCATGAGGAAAACATAGAAAATCTCAACATAACTCATTATATTGGAAGGTATATTGGAATGTTTCTCTGACAGTGTAGTAATAATTAAGCACTAACTTACAATAAAAAGTTAAAATTAAAGAGAACATTGTCTATGGTGATTCTCATCCATCCAGGTCATGGTTGTCCCAAAATCATGCTTTTCCAAAAGGCAACTGGACTTTCTTGGTTTTTATTTGAAAACATTTTGCTTCTCATCCAAGAAGCTTCTTCAGTTCTAATTGAGGACAATGGAAGGATTTATGTTCTTTGCAGTCATTTGGTCATTCACACTTTCAGGGTTGGTTGTTAGCCCTCTGAGAGTAGTTGAGGCCCCTTGTTGGTTTATCTCACAGTCACTTGAATAAGAGTGCAAATGGGTGTGGAACATTTTTGGGACTGCTGAAACAACTGTATTGTAGACAGGAGACAAGTAGTATGGTATTCCTCCCTCTCTGATAAGGCTGTTCAGTTTTAACATAGATGACTTCTTTGACCCTTCTTTCAAACCGGTGGTCCTCTCTGTCTGGAATATGAACTTTGCTGTCTTCAAAAATCTGACCCTTTAATTTCAGATGCACATAGACTGATGAATCCTGTCCTGATGAGTTGGTTTTCATGTGTTGTGTCATATGTTTGTGAAGAGGTTACTTTGTTTCTTCAATGTACCAGTCTGCACATGTCTTGCTGCATTGTACTACATACACATTGCCCAGTTTGGGTCTGGGTGCTTTGTCCTTGGGGTGGACAAGCTTTTGCCTTAATGTATTCCTGGGTTTAAATTGTGCAGCTATGTTGTGTTGGTTGAAAATCCTCTTGAATTTTTCAGTTATTCCTGCAACGTATGGAATGATCACATTGCTCCATTTGTTGTTCTCTTCTTTGTTCATTTTGAAGAAGGTCCCTACTGGATCTTTTCATGGATTTGATGATTAGGATAAACACAAGTTCTAAGGACTGCCTTGATATATTTTTGTTCCTCGCCCTCCCCCCCCCCCGCTCTTTGCTGGTAGGCATACATACCTTCAGCCTGGTGGTATAGGGTCCTGATTATTTCCAGTTTGTGGTCCAGTGGGTGGGGAGAATCAAAATGTAAATAGGTTTGTATAGGTTTTCTGTGTATTTGTGTTGAGATTTGATATGTATTTGCACAATGCAGGAAAGCTACAGTATTTTCCTTAACTTCTTCCTGTGTGAAATTAATGTTTCTGTCCACAGTGTTTATGTGTTTGGTGAAGGATTCCACTTCCTGTGTTTTAATCTTCATACCTATACCCTTGAGTAGATGGAATCAGATGCTTGCATTGGATATCTAATTCTACCTACTCACTGTGGATGATACTTGATTCAAGATTAAAATTCAGAAAATGGAAGTGGAAGCCTTCAGCAAACACATCAATACAAAACCTCCTTGGAGGGGGGACCCCCCATATGTGTTTGTGAGGATTTTTTCTCAGGGTGCAAATAGGGACAAGGAAAAGCTATCTTTCATTTTAAGCATTGCATCTTCAAGGGAATTTCTGTCTCGTTTGCACCTTTTCTAAGACTGCTGAGTTTTTTGCTTTTGTTTTGAGGGTGCTCCAGGTGCCTCATGTTTTGGCAATTTCCTGCCTGCTTTTCGTGGTTTAATTTGGTGTCTGTGTCTGTGTCTATGCTCTTTTCTTCATGCAGTTCTCAAGTTTGCAAGCCAGCTTGCAATCGGGGAGGGGGGAGGGGAGAAGCTGTGTCTCCAAGGGAATCCCTCTCTCATCTGCACTGTTTCCAAGGCTGCTGGGCTTGCGCAATGCCCCCCCTCTCTCCCTCCCTCCCTCCTTTCCACTCTCTCTCTCTCTCTCTCTCTTTGAATGGTTTTCTCGGCACTTCCTCAACATGCTCGGTCTTTGGTTTGTTTGGCTGGAAGGCTGAGCTTAGGATTGTCTCGTTTCATTCCCATTTTCTTAGAAGCAGAAAGTCACTGATGTAATCTAATACAATGTAATAATAATAGAAATAAAGTGTATTATTTGTTTATTTAGAAAACTTAGAATAAATATAATGAATCATCCTGAAACTTCCCCCTCTGGTCCATGGAAAAAATGTCTTCCATGAAATTGGTCCCTGGTGCCCAAAAGGTTGGGGACCTCTGCTTTAAACCCAGGAATACATTAAGGTAGAAGCTTATCCACTCCAAGGATAAAACATCCAGATGCAAACTGAACAACGTGGTATCTAGCAATAGCACTTAAACTTATATACCACTTTACAGTGCTTTACAGAGTCAGCATATTGCTCCCAACAATCTGGATCCTCATTTTACTGACCTCGAAAGGATGGAAAGTGAGAATTGAACTGCTGCCAGCTGGCAGTCAGCAGAATTAGCCTGCAATACTGTATTCTAATCACTGTGCCACCACAGTGGAATGCAGCAAGACGTGCAGATCTGCATATTGTGAAAACAAAACAACCACTTCACAAATACATGACCCAATACAGGAGAACAAGCAGCTCCAAATTTTCCCCAAATGCTCCCACGTTTCTGGGAAGCCCCAGAATAAAGTAACACACACACACACACCTTCAGCAGCCTCTGGCTGCAAGTAGTTTCACACGTTTTTAACTCTTCAGTAGATTAGAAGAGTAATTTACTCAAGGCCACATAGATAACAAGGAAAGAAACATATATTCAAAATCTAATGAGTCTGTGGAAATACAAGCTTGCCTGAGCAGTTTCAGAAGGGAAGCCAAAATTCAATCCAAGGCCTTTGAACACCAAATCAAGTTTGTGAGCCAGTCCAATGGTCAGAGTTTCAGGGTTTCCAAGCAGAAATCATAACACAGAACAAAAGATCAGAAAGTTGTTTCCAAGATCAGCAACAGCACATAAAACTCAAAAAAAAAATCAGTGTTTGTTCCTGACAAATGCCCCTCCCCACAGCGTCTCCTTAAGTCTCAGTCTCCAGGTGTGCCTTGTGGAATGGGGTGGGGTGCTGTCCTCCCGAGTAGTTGAGCCTGATTGCGCCTGATTGCGTTGTTCCCTCCTCCTCTCCACTCTCCGTGCAGGCATGACACTCATCAGGACAAGATTCAAGTGATTCTGAGGATATAGATCAGTGCTTCTCAACGTTTGTGTGAAGGCGACCCCCGTCACACAAACGTGCCGTGCATGCGCGGCGCCCCCCATGCGCGGCGGCGCCCCCATGCGCGGTGCGCATGAGCGGCGGCGCCCCCCCGAGGGGGGAAAATGGCGGATCGCCTTGTTTGGCGACCCCCGAGAAATGGTCGATCGACCCCAAATGGGGTTGCAACCCATAGGTTGAGAACCGCTGATATAGATAAACCCCCAAGTGGTCTCAACTACTCTCGGAGAGTTAACAACCAACCCTGAGAGTGCTAATGACTAGCTGGCTGCAAAGAATATAAATCCTTCCATTCCCCTCCAGACAATTAAAACTGAAGAAGCTTCTTGCATAAGAAATGGAACATTTTCAAAGAAAAAAACCAAGAAAGTCCAGTTGCTTTTTGGAAAAAGTACTTTTGCGATAAAGAGGACACTGGAGTATCATGTTCTTCAATTATAGGGTTCTATGAAAGTGCTGATAGAATCATTAATTTAGAATTTTAATCATTAATCCTGTGTAAATGTAATCCCAAAAACCATGACTTGCATTTTATATGTAGATCAATTTGAGCTTCTCTCTCTCTCAAAGATAGCATTTATTCACATCCCTATTTTTTTTATAAGTGTAATAATAATGTGTATATTTTTCAGGGTCTGTATGTTCTGGACTTTTTTTGGAATGAAACTTGGTATTTAAAAACAATGGATATTGCTCACGATCACTTTGGATGGTATCTGGCCTGGGGAGACTGTGTTTGGCTTCCCTATCTCTATACTCTGCAGGTATTTCATCAGATGCATTTACTCTTGTTTGCATTCAGCTGCTTCTAGAAACAATAGAATGTTTCCCCCTTTAAGAAAGCACCTTGGGTATCATGATGGCTGTTCACGTTTAAGGATTTTATTTTTCTGAATGTTTGGGCCTACTGCTGCAGGGAGTAAACTGCCCTGGCAGTATTATTTTGGGGAGGTAATGGGCAACTCCTAGTGTGATGGTTGCTATTATGTGGCAGTTGGAGGTTAGCTGGGAAAACCACTGGAAGCTGATGTTTTGTGTGGTGGGTGTAAGCCAGTGCCTGATAGCC